TTTTTATGTTTTACTTGCTTAACCTAAAACTCTGCTATCAACAAATATAGATCTAAACAATGTTAAGATTGTAGACCACACAAGGGTCTGTTGAGTTTACAGAAACATACATAATATCACAACAAACATGACATATTGATTAAATAATCTACAATAGGAAATAATATCAAAATGTTGTGTGACTCTGAAACCATCTAACAGGCTTCAAAATCTTGTGATCATCAGTGTAATCTTAAAGACATTAGAAGATAAAAGCATATACAGTACTGCATATATCAGATAATTACATGAGCTAAAATCAAAAGGTAGTAATGTTACAGTGCAGGATGGTAATTAATGAGAGCAGCTGATGTGAGAATAATTTTAAGAAAATGCACTATGTCCACTTTAGCCTTTAAAATAATTAAATTCAGGTTACATAACTGACTGCCTGTCCTGCAGGGTCCTGGTCTGTACTATGTAGATGATAATGGGACGCGTCTGTCTGGCCGCATGTTTTCCACCGGCTGTGGGAACAGCTACGCCTACGGTGTGGTGGACAGCGGTTACAGGGAAGACATGACAGTAGAGGAGGCGTATGAGCTCGGCCGTCGGGGCATCGCTCACGCTACACACAGAGACGCCTACTCTGGTGGAGTGGTAAACAGTAAGTATGCACAGGGAAACTTCCTGAAACTTATTTAAGTATTTTTTGTTTGTTTGAGTTTTTTTTTTTAAAGCCATTTGATGTTATAGCTAAAGGAATGTCAATTCTGGTCTACCAGTTAGTAAATAAATTCACTTTGATTCAGATTCTAAATTATTGGATAGATCAGTTAGCACATTGGTGTTCCCTAGAGGACCAAGAACTTGGGTAATCTTTCCTCACCCTATGTCAGGTACAAACTTTAGTGGTTTGTATCAGCCTTAGTGATATTTGGTATTTAGTGCTAATAGCCAAATATCACAAAGCTTTCTTAGTAAATAATACATAATTTATTCAGTGCTTAATTAAGTATTCTGATTCTGACAATAAACGTACACCTAGTGAATGTAAGAATTTGCTCATGTTAGTATTTAGCTCAGAGCCAAACCCAGGCTGACTAAGTCTTTCATTTCCTGTTGGTTTGTTCTTTGTCTTAATTTGTCCTGTGATTAATTAAAATAAAAGTAAGTATCTAGTACTGATAAAATATATATATAAATATATATATACAGTATTCTGTATACTGCATGTACACAGTTTAAGCAACTACACCTTGGCAAATATTCAAAGAATACAGGAAATCAGAACAGTGGCCTTGAAGTATACAGTCACCTGTCAGTTTATTAGGTACATCTGTTTAGCTGTTTGTTAACACAAATATATATGTGTGTGTATAATAATTTAATAACACAGCTTGCTGCATTTAGGTATGTAGACATGTTCAAAACGACCTGCCGAAGTTCTAACTGATCATGAGAATGAGAAAGAAATGTGATTTAAATAACTCTGAACATGGCTTGGTGGCTGGAGTATTTCAGAAACTGCTGATGTGCTGGGACTTTCCCATACAATCATCTCTAAGGTTTGCATAGAATGGTCAGAAAAAGTGAAAATAATTCAGTTAACAGCAGCTGGGTAATATTGAACTGATAGGAAGGCAGCAATAACTCAATCATCCACTTGTTAGAAACAGGGCATGCAGAAGAGCTTTCTGAAAGCACAGCATGCCAAACCTTGAAGCAGATGGGCTGTAGCAGCAGAAGATCACACCAGTTGTCACTCCTCTCAGCTAAGAACAAGAAACTGAGGCTGCAATTTACACAGGCTTGATGTTGTCTGGTCTGATTAGTCCCAACTTTTGCTGCAAAATTCAGATGGTGGGGTCACAATTTGGCACAAGCAACATGAAAGCATTGATCTCTTTATGTCTGTCTCCACGTTGGTTGAGTGTGGAGTGAGTGCATATGAGAGCATGAGGGTGGGAATGGATGTTTGTACCTGTGTGTGCCTGTATTTCTGTGTCTATATGTCAGGTTGGGTATCAG